AGGCTGGCCAAGAGTGGTACGTAATGAACGACGAGGAGCAGGGAGTGAAGGAGGCGTCCCCTGAGAGGTAGCCGAGCTATCCGAGGAGCTGTGCCCAGACGAAGACTCGGATAATGAGCCAGAGTCGGCCCCAGGTGAAGACTCGGACGAGGAGCTAGAGTGGGATGAGGACCCAGAAGATGAAGCCGAGGACAACAAAGGAGTGTGCGGAGGAGAAGCATCAAGGGCGAGGTCATCAGGAGGATTCGGAGGCGGAGGTACAACCGCAGGAGGGTCAAAAGTAGTAAGAGGGACGAGAAAGTCCAGAGACTGAGGGGACAACTGAGAGTTTTCACTATGATAGTACATCATGTGTTCAAGAAACACCACATGACAACAAACACGCATCCGATGAGCAGAGGGATCATAGCACAAATACCCCTTGTGTTGATGACTGTAACCCAAGAAGACACTACGAACCACCTTTGGAGCTAATTTGTGGCGCTCTCGCTTGGGAAGAAGAACGAAGCAAACGCAGCCAAAAACACGTAAAAAGGAGTAATCGGGTTCCTTATCATATAATTGATAAAAGGGAGACTTCTGCGCAAGAACCTGGGTAATCTGCCGATTGATGAGATAGACGACAGTACTCACAGCCTCTACCCAGAAACCAGTCGGGACTAAGGAGTGGAACAGTAAAGCACGAGTGAGTTCAAGAACATGTCTGTTCTTGCGTTCCACTACCCTGTTCTGCTGGGAGACACCCGGACAAGACTGCTGCGAAAGAATACCATGAGAACGATAGAACTCCATCAACGGATGCGATGTAAATTCACCTCCAGGATCAGACCGAAACACCTTAACTGTTTTACCGAACTGAGTGCTAACCATCTGAACAAACTCCTTAGCAAAAGTGATCAACTCAGATTTCTTACGTAGAAAATACACCCAAGTGAACCGGGTAGTGTGATCGATAAAAAGAGCAAAATAACGAAAACCCAACCGAGATGTGACCGGAGAGGGTCCCCACAAGTCGGTATGCACAAGATCAAACGGAGCCTGATAAACTGAGTCACTGGGAGAGAATGAAGACTGGGAGGCCTTGGCCTCTATACAACTAATGCAAGGAGCAGAAGGATCACACGACGAATCAAGTTTAGCCGGTAAAAGGCCCTTTCTAAACATTGATAATAACCGAGTCTCATGAGGATGTCCAAGGCGAAAATGCCATAAATCCCAAACAGATGGTTTAACAGAAAAAACAGAAGGCTCAACCAGCCGATCCGAAACAAAATCATCAGAAGACAAAGTATGGTTCTCAAAAGGACAAGACTTGAAATCAGAACAAAGTTCATCCCCACTGCCCAAAATTGCCGCAGCATGTCCACTCCTCATGGCATCTTCATTAGCCGGCCGAGCACCTGCTTGGTGAAAATCCTCCAAAGTGAACACCCGCCCCTCTTTCCTGCCACTACCCAGAACCCTCCGGGTTCTCCGATCCTGCACACGACACCCCGTGTCAGTAAAAACAACATCACATCCTGCTTCAGTTAACTGTCCAACGGAGACGAGATTTGGAACCAGCTGAGGAACATATAGTGTATCAGGAAGCGTAACCGAACCAGCCGAAGCGGTTCCCACACCATGAACCGGAATACGAGCTCCGTTAGCAACTTGTAACGAAATGGGAGAACTAGGGCGCAGAGCAGGAAAGATAGATCGAGTATTGCTCATATGATTAAAAGCTGCAGAATCGAGGAGCCAACGAGGAGAAGTACCTGATGAGTTACTGGTTGAAAATGCTGCATTCAAAGCCTGAGGGAGTACATCTTGAAGAGCTTCAGCAACTAATTTCCGAACCAAATCGGAGGAGAGAGCAGCAGAAGGAACCGTTGCAGGTGGGAGAGGTGGCGGCAAAGAGACAGGCTGAACAGCATAGCTCGCACCAGATGAAGAAGAGCTCCCAGAACGGTTGCGCCGAGCAAGGCTTTTGCACTCAAGAATGATGTGACCCTTGGATTTACAATAAATGCAGAAGTTCTTGCGCTTGCAATGAGGCTGGATATGTCCTACCTCGTGGCAAAAATGGCATGTAAGTCCACTAGTATCCCCACCCTGGAATTGTGGCTTGGTCGAACGCCCACGACCAACAGCATAAGCAGACTCACCCATGGGAAGTTTCTGATCAATTTGCGCCTGACTGCGCAAACGAGTCTCCTCACGCAACAGCTCACCGAGAGCTTCATCAAGAGTCCCAACACCACGATGAAGAATGGACGCACGAATGGGCTCAAAATCTGGACGTAGCTTCATGAGAAACTGCATAAAACGGGAACGATCACGTTCCTTAAGCATATCAGCTGTAGCCGGAGTGGTGGTAAGAACTGCCATCATCATATCCTGCTCAGTCCAAAGATTCATGAAAGCCTGATAGTAGCCACGTATATCACGATCGCCTTGGACCAGCTGACCAAGCTCAATCTCCAACTGAAACTGACGAGAGGAATCTGGACGAGAATAGAGAGTAACCAAATGCTGCCACATCTGATGGGCTGTCGTAAAACGCCGAAGACTAAGAGCAGTAGCTGCATCAACTGAGTCAAGCAACCAAGTGATAACCTGAGCATTCCCAGCAGCCCAGTCGACAATTGCCTGAGCAGCAGCACCCTCAGTAGGACGAGTAAGTGTACCATTAAGAATAGGTAGTAGGCGCTTGCCTTCTACAAAATTTCGGAAATGGAACTCCCAAAGAGCAAAGTTGCGGCCATCAAAACGAACAGAAACTGAGTCTAGCTTCCTTGAATCCATGATATCCAACAACAAAAAAAAACAAGGCTTCAAGATTGTGGGATCAACCAGAATAGAAGCTTCCACGCAGCTTTCAACCCACCAGAAAGTAGAACCAATAAATAATAATAGAAGCTGCCACACGCAGCGTGCAACCCACCAAAAAGAGGATCCAAGCAAAGCAGCAAGGAAGGATTCTAGAAGCTGCCGAACAGACCTGAGCGGACGATGCAGAGGAAAAGAAAGTAGTCGCCGCGGAAAGAAACCTGACCTGAGGAATGAGGGATCAAAGTCAGCGAGCAAAAGAAAGAAGCCAAACGCGCGACTCCAAGAAGAATCCCCAAACCCTAAGAGCGCTGAGCGCAGAACCAAAACCAATGAAATACGATCAACAACGGATCTCAGATCACAGGCTCTGATACCATGTCAAAGAACCAAGCTGAAAGTAAAGAACACCGAGTTTTTTAACGTGGTATCGTCAGTATGACACTAATCCACGGTGAGGATCTCCCTCACAGGTTTTAGGTTTTCTTATTGCTTAATTACCAAACTACAAGCAATACAAGGATACTTATAGTATCTGACTTTTACCCTAGCTAATTCGGCTAAGGGTAAATTACTAAACAGTCCATATAATTAACATTCTGTTGGATAGATGGGGGACGGACTTAGTTCCCTGAGCTCTTCTTCTCCTTCTTAGCAGTAGTAGGAGTGTTGGTCAGGCATTGCAAGGTTCTCTTTGGCAGAGAAGTCTGATCAGAAGAGCCGCCGCCGCCACCCTCTTCACCATCATCATCATCCAAAACAACAACAACATCTATAGTTGTCAGTACTTGTTCTTCTTCATTGTCACCAAGCTGCATGATGATCTCCAAAGTTGCAATAATATACATGAGCCCTGTAGCGTTAGAGCAGTCCAGCTGCATATTCGGCTGATATTTCCTCGTCGCGAATGTGGCGTTGCCGATGTAGAAGCTTTTCATCGTCATGGAAATCTACATCATCAACGAGATACAAATTATTTTCCCCCCTGATTGAGACATTTACTTATAATAGTAAGACCATTTCCAAGTTGGTAATTTAAAACAAATCTCCCATCGATCCTTTAATCTTTATTCAAGGAAAGGCGACCATGCCCTCATTCAGGATATATGAAAATTAGGTCCCTCCACTTTCCTTAATTATATACTAGCTTGGACCACGCCCTTTGGGCAGGTGTGTTATGTTATATTTTGTGTCATGTAATTTATGAACTTACTCATTAACATCTAATTCGCTATTTGTTATTGACTTTTACAATTCCCAACAATTTATTTTGTAGAAAAAATCCCACCTTATTCTCTAATTATAATCTTTTGAAAGTAACACTATTTTTAAAAAAAACAGCATTTAATATGTATTCCATATCTATAGCATTTAAAGTGTAAAAAAATATCTATAATATTTGGTCAACTTAAAAATCTATCTTGCATAGAGGAGTTGTTCTATTATTTATGTATATAATTTTTTATGACAAAATATATTGCTATAATGGTAAAGCAAGGAAACACTCGATTAAAAAAAATTCGCACTTCTTGTATTATAAGAATAATATATAGTAAATAATTATCATCCAAAACATACTGCAATATTATTTAAAAAAACGTTGCCAGAAGGCCAAAGCCAAAACAATATATACATTTTTTTCGGTTAATATAAATATATATTGGTCAAGCAAGGAAAGGTAGAAAACCTATTTTTTAGAAAAAACGGCTCCATAAAAAGGAGAAAAAAAAACCTTGTAAATACACGTGCGGTAATGACTTACAATGGAAACAGTCACGACTTCATTTTCTCGGGGCCGCTGTGCAGCCTCACCACCATGATTCGACGAACCCTCCGCCGTCTTCTTCTGATCATCATCATAAACCACAGCCTTTTCCCAGCTTATTGTAGTCCTCGTTCCATTAGCCACGCCCATCCTAACAACACCACCGTGATGATCGTCGTCGCCGCCTTCTTCATCATCCATCTCGTTCACCTTCCATGATATTTCCTGCGCTATCTGCTCCACCTTCTCAGCTTCGGGACTGCGCTAATAACGACCGCGCAAGTAAATAATATATATCCATAATTGAATCTCGAGCAACTGATTCTCGACAGACAGACAGACAGACAGACAGACAGACAGACAGACCTTAAAATCTAAGTGAAACAAAGACAAGCCGTCCAAAAAGAATCATATAATATAATTATTACGTGTGATCGTCGATGACCCAGCCGGAGATATGGGAAATGGAGCGGAGAGCGTGGATCCAGCCATTCACCCTCTCGTAGCTGTACATCCTCTTGTGCCTATCAAAGTCGGCCTTGTAGATCCCAGAGGACGCCGGATCGGCCACGTCATCGTCGGGGGAGACTTTGTAGAAAACGGGGAAAGGCTGGTGCCCTTTCTCCGAATTCCTGCACTTCATGATCTTGACCAGCTCGTCGAGGCAGTACTCCGACGAGGCGTAACCTCTGGACAGCACGACGACGGACAGCATGGACTCCTCGATGGCGCGTGAGATGGCCTCCGTGATGTTCTCGCCTCGACGGAGGTCCACGTCGTCGCGGAACACCCGGACGCGTTTGCCGCGGCGGAGGGCGGAGTCGAGGTGGTCGGTGAAGTTGCGGCGGCCGTCGGGTCCCCGGTGGCTGATGAAAACGTGGTGGCGCCACGGCGGAGGAGGGGGAGGGTTGGAAGTAGGCCGACTGCCGCCGAGTCCGGCGGCAGTAGAGAGAGCGCGGAGAGCTAGGAGGATGAGGAGAAGGACATGAACTACTGAACCCATTTTCACTTTGTGGGTGGAGGAGGCGGAATTGTTAGGCTTTTATTGAGTGAAGGCGGCTGTATTTTGGACAGCTCATCTGTTGCACCCACCCAATGAAACACAGCCGTGTGTCCAAATACAAGCGGGTGCGACAAATTTGATCGTATCCTCCCTCCACTAGCTTGCTCTAACCTCGGTCTGAGAAGAATATAACCTAGCTCAACAAATGCTAGGGTTTGAGGGGAGAAAGAACAGCCTGAATTGTGGGAATCGGCAAGATGCCTTTCCTCTGTGTGGGTTTCTCATATATATAGCAAAGAAGACGATTACACTGTACATTAACGGTAAACAGACAAATCAATTGAACTAACCTATCAGAGACTGCCAACTGTCTAACTGCTATTGTTAGCTTATTCTAATTACAAAACTCCCAATGCGACGACGTTCTGTCTTATGAGGCTGTGTCATTTAGTACAAAACGTCGTCGCTCCCAGTGTCTTCTTCGCTGTGTTCTGACTAAAGTGAAAGGAAGCTTTAGCCAGTCTTCTCATGTTCTTCTGCACCATTCATGTCTGCAGTAGCTGAAGATCACCATTTCCTTTCACACGCCCCCTCAAGCTGGCGAGCATCCACTGTGCACGCCGAGCTTGCATAACAAGTAGTCAAAACGTTCAGCAGATAACCCTTTTGTAAACAGGTCTGCTAACTGATCTTCAGTTCCAATGTGATCCAAAGTAATGAGTCCAGATTGCAACCTTTCACGAATTACATGGCAATCCACTTCTATGTGTTTAGTTCTTTCGTGAAAGACTGGATTTTGTGCAATATAAATTGCAGATTGGTTGTCACAGAATACCTGAACACTCTGCTGATGTGGTACTCTGTAGAATTTGAGCAATGAATGTAGCCACTGAATTTCACAAGAGAGCTGTGCCAATGCCCTATATTCAGCTTCTGAAGATGATCTTGAAACTGTATTCTGTTTCTTGCTCTTCCAACTAATAAGAGAATCACCAAGAAATGTGCAATAACCAGTGATTGATTTTCTAGTGTCTGGACATGTTGCCCAGTCAGAATCACAATACCCCTTAAGTGACAAATTATTCTTTGCTGAGAACCAAAGACCCTGACTGGGACAACTCTTTAAGTACCTTAAGATCCTGTGTAAACACTTAAGATGAACACTGGTAGGATTGCCTTGAAACTGACAGAGCTGCTGTACAGGGAAGGTGATATCAGGTCTTGTTGTTGTCAAGTACTGTAACTGTCCTAGCAGATGTCTATAATGTGAACCATCTGATAATGGAGTTCCATCAGTTGCTGAAAGCACTGTCTTCATGCTTATAGGAGTCTTGGCAGGTTTACTTTCAAGGAAGTCAGCATTAGCAAGCAACTCCAAGCAAAACTTCCTTTGGTTAACTGAAATGCCTTCACCTGATCTGGCCACTTCTAATCCAAGGAAGTATCTCATGTTTCCCAGATCTTTGATCTTGAAACCTCTCTTCAGTTGCAACTTTACCTTCTGAATTTCATCTAAATCAGGGCCTGCTAGAAGTATATCATCAACATACACAATTAAAATCACAGAAGATGTCCTGAACACAGAATAATCTTCATATGATTGTTCAAACCCCAGACCCTTTAGATACTCAGACAATTTAATGAACCATTGTCTGCTTGCTTGTTTTAACCCATATAAGGACTTCCTCAGCTTGCAAACCTTTCCCTTCATCCCTTCCTTTCCTTTCAATCCATCTGGCAGCTCCATATACACATCCTCATCTAAATCTCCATGTAAAAAGGCATTACTCACATCCATTTGATGGAGATGCCAGCCTCTAACTGCTGCTACTCCCAATAACAGCTTCACTGAGTTTAACTTAACAACTGGAGAAAATGTATGAATGAAATCAACACCATAGGTCTGTGTATAGCCCTTAGCTACCAGTCTGGCTCTTCTTCTTTCAATTGATCCATCTGTTAGGAACTTTGTCTTGAAGACCCATTTGTTTCCAACAACCTTCTGACCTGGAGGTAAGTCAACTATGTCCCAAGTTCTGTTCTCTTCTAAAGCATCAATCTCTTGATTGATTGCATCATTCCAGCATCTTTCCATTATGGCTTGTGAGTATGTCTGAGGGTCAGGTGCAAGGGATATGGAGAGAGTAAAATGTTTGTGGTTAGGTGACAAGGAAGAGTAATCCAGGTGGTTTGAAAGAGGGTACAGAAGCTTGGAATCATGTTCTCCTGGAGTTCCCTTTGAGAAGAAACTTGTATGGAAATCCTGCAAGTAAGCAGGCTGTTTAGATGTTCTAGATGATTTTCTCAAGGCAATGGGAAGTGAAACAGGAGAGGGTGTTGATCCAGAAGAAGAAGGTGTGTTTGGAGAAGGGTGAGAAAGAGGGGAAACAGATTCATCATCAGATTCATAATCAAGAGGAGAGTAATCATGATCATTAGTTTCATGAACATTGTGGTCTGGTGGCAGGAACTGATTAGGAGGTGTGGAATCTCCAAAGAGATCACCAAAGGGAAAATCTTGATGATGACTTTTAGGTGGTTGAGGGGTTTGAGAAAGGGTTTGAGAAGGTGAAGAATGGAGTGAACTGTCCCCCCCAGCCATCAATGGAAAGATGCTTTCTACAAACTCAACATCTCTGCTAACAAAAACAGTATCCTGCTCCAGATCATATAGCTTAAATCCCTTAATACCATAAGGGTAACCAACAAAAACTGTCTTCCTTGCTCTTTCTGCAAATTTTCTCTTGTGCTCATCTAACACAGTGGCATAAGCCAAGCAACCAAATACTCTTAAAGAGCTATAGTCTGGAGGTATACCATACAAACACTCAAATGGAGTTTTGTTGTTCAACACAGGTGTAGGAATCCTGTTTATTAAGTATGCAGCATGCAAGACTAAATGACTCCAAAAACTGGTAGGTACCCCAGACTGAAATTTTAATGCTCTTGCTACATTTAGCAAGTGCTGGTGTTTCCTTTCAACTCTTCCATTTTGCTGTGCAGTTTTCACACAGCTCATTTCATGTAGAATGCCATGCTCTTGGTAGAATACAGGCATATTAAATTCTTGCCCCTGATCAGACCTGATGACCTTAATCTGTTTACCAAATTGTGTATTCACCATAACATAAAAGGATTGCAATAGATCACGAGTTTCAGACTTGGACTTCATCAAAAACAACCAAGTACTTCTACTGAAATCATCCACAACTGTTAGGAAATACTTAAAACCATCATGGGACACAACATCAACTGGCCCCCAGATGTCTACATGTACTGTATCAAATATGGCAGTAGCCATTGATGTACTTCTATCAAAAGGTAAACGTTTCTGTTTAGCCATATGGCAAACCTCACAGTCACTCAATTTGGGTACTACTACTTCATTACACTGTCTATGTATCTCCTGCAGTCTTGGTAAAGAAAGATGTCCTAGTCTGGTATGCCATAGGTCTGAGCTTGGTCTGGTTGTCACTCCAAAAATATGTGGTCTTGAATTCTCTCCAGGTTGTGTGTTCTCTCCCAGTAGGTACAGCCCCTTAGCTACGTGGATTAAACCAATCCTCTGTTGAGAGATTAGGTCCTGAATACAACAAAGATTGGATTCAAATGTGAGTGATACTGGACTGTGTTTGGTGAGCTTACTGATAGAGATCAGGTTATAACTAAAGGATGGGACAAGTAGGACATTGGTAAGAAAGAGACCACAGGACAGTTTTACTATGCCTATGTGTGTTACCATGGCTTTCTGTCCATTTGGCAAGGTGACTGATAAATCCTTAGCTTGTCTACATCTCAGAAAAAATTTCATAGAACACACTATATGATCACTTGCACCAGTGTCAAGTACCCACACATCATTGCTACCATCAGTAAGAGAGGTTGAGAGTACTGTTGTACCTGACACTGAAGCCCCTTTAGCCACAATAGAATTAGCCATGGAAGAGTGTGATGGAGGCTGCTGAGGATTCTGGAGTAATGCTTTGAGACGCATTAACTCTTCATTAGTGAAACCAGCAAACTTGTTTGGACTGCTAGGAGTGTTGCCTGGACTGTTTGCACCATAAGAAGAACCTCCACCAGCACCAGAGTTATGTTTTTCAGCCGTTCCATATGAGGAACTTCCAGCAGCCACATCAACTGAACCAGCAAAAGCTCTGCCTCCCCCTTCCTTGTTCTTCTTCTTAAGCTTCCAACAATCTTGTATAACATGATTGTCTTTCTTACAGTACCTGCAGAAAAGACCTCCTGCACCTTCTTGCTGACCATCTCTTGCTCCTCTATCTCTAGACTGACCATATTGAGATTTTGATGCAGCCAGGGCAGTTGCAAGGGCAATGGTTTCCTCAGATTTTCCAGTATTACTGCTTGATCCCTTCAATTGTCTCTCAAGTTGGGTAACAGATCTGTAAACACTGTCCAGATCTGGTAAAGGGTCAAGCATCAACATCTGGGTTTTGACCTGCTGGTACTTTTCATTCAAACCCAGCAAGAATCGAATCACCTTAGCTCGTTCTCGATACATAATGACAGTCTCATATGTCTTAGATGCACAATCACAGAAGGGTATGGGTAAGTAGCTATCACTCTCATCCCATAACAGCTTCAAATCAGTATAATACTGTCTGATGGTTTGATTCCCTTGCTTAACAAGGTCTACCTTCTCCTGCAGATTAGCAATCCTCACAGAATCGCCTTGACTAAACTTGGATTTGAGAAATTTCCAAGCCTCAGATGCCAAATTAATATTTCGAAGACTAGGCACTATATCTTCTGAAACAGAGTTACGAATCCAGCAAACCACAGTTCCATTAACCCTATCCCAGGTTCCAAAAGAAGGATCAGAAGCATCTGGTACCTGAATCGTACCCAGGACAAACCCTAGTTTGTTTTTGGTTCGCAGCGCCACCTCCATGGACTCACTCCAAAGGAGATAGTTGTCATCATTCAACTTAAACCCGATGACAGGAAGAAAAGAGTTGTCACTGTGTGCTAAGTAA